TTATTTGGTAAATCACCTGTCATTCCTTAACATGGCCTTATTTGGTAAATCACCTGTCGTTCCTTAATTAACAAGGCCTTATTTGGTACATCACCTGTCATTCCTTAACATGGCCTTATTTGGTAAATCACCTGTCATTCCTTAACATGGCATTAGTGGGTAAAACACCTTTCAGTCCTTAACATGGCCTTATTTGGTAAATCACCTGTCAGTCTGGTTATACATTGCAATATTTGTTAAGTAAAGTGAACTTAATGAATGTAATTATTCCCATTGTTTTTCAGTAACTAAAAGAATAAAATGGTGGATTACTCTTGTCTGCGTTGTTGCATCTATTATTGGTTTTATTTTAGTTGTCATGTTATTCAGATGGTCTTACCTTAAAATGAAAAATAAAGGAATTTTTGAACCTGTTCCACAAGTCTTCATTCCAATCGAGGTGAGTTGCATCATTGCAACATCTGATTTCAACTGAGGAGGTGCTGTATTATGCGGTATATTTCATGTCCTTGGGAGGGGGTTTGGCACTCTTGATTTTTCTGATTTTGGTCCTATACTATTTTCTGCTTTGGTAGCGTTGGACATTATAGGACCTTGATGCACATCATTTTGTTTTACGATCTGATTCAAGATGGCCGAATGGCGGCCATTTTTGTGCTAAAAAATCATAAAAATCAAGCATTTCTCGGCTGTTTACAGATGGATTTTGTTCAAACTTGGTATATACATTAGAAATTATGGGACCTTGATGCAAATGATTTTGTTTTTCAGATTAGATTCAAAATGGCCGGCTGGTGGCCATTTTGTTTCAATAAATGTGGTTCTCGTGCCATATGTCTGACTTGCTTTCATTTATTTTGTTCAAATTTTAAATATTCATTATACATCATGTCATAGATAGACAGATATATTGGTTTGACGATCCTATTCAAAATGGCCAAATGGTGGTCATTTTTGTGCTAAAAAATCATCAAATATCAAGCATTTCTGGCATTTATGGATTGATTTCGTTCAAACTTATAACCTACATTAGACATAACAGGTTCCTGATGCACGTCATTTTATTTCATCATTTTGTTTCACGATCTGATTCATGATGGCCGAATGGCGGCCATTTTTGTGCTAAAAAAATCATAAAAATCAAGCATTTCTCGGCTGTTTACAGATAGATTTTGTTCAAACTTGGTATATACATTAGACATTATGGGACCTTGATGCAAGTAATTTTGTTTTTCAGATTAGATTCAAAATGCTTTGACTGATTATATTCAAATTTTATATATTTGTCATACACCATGTTATATATATACATGTATTCAAAATGGCTGATTTTGAATGCTGTTCCAGAGCAATATGGAGAAGTACTTGTTTGACAATCAGATACAAATGTCAATCATTTTAATGTTAAAAAATCATATTCCTGACATGGTTATATTCCAGCTATATTACTATAAACAAAACTATATATCTTAAATTTGATAATTGTACCTTACTGTGCTGTAATGACACCTTACTGTGCTGGAATGACTCCTTACTGTGCTATAATGACACCTAACTGTGTCTGTAATTGACACCTTACTGTGCTGGAATGACACCTAACTGTGTCTGTAATGGCACCTTACTGTGCTGGAATGACACCTAACTGTGTCTGTAATGGCACCTTACTGTGCTGTAATTGACTCCTTACTGTGTCTGTAATGGCACTTACTGGGCTGTAATGGCACCTTATTGTGCTGTAATTGACACCTAACTGTGTCTGTGATGACACCTTACTGTGCTGTAATTGACACCTAATTGTGTCTATAAGGATAACTTTCTGGGCTGTAATGATACCTAACTGTGTCTGTAATTGTACCTTACTGTGCTGTAATGACACCTTACTGTGCTGGAATGACTCCTTACTGTGCTATAATGACACCTAACTGTGTCTGTAATGGCATCTTACTGGGCTGTAATGGCACCGAACTGGTTCTGTAATGGTACCTCACTGTGCTGTAAGGACACCTTACTGTGCTGGAAGGACACCTTACTGTGCTGTAGTGATACATAACTGTGTCTGTAGTGGCACCTTACTGGGCTGTGATGACTCCTTACTGTGCTGTAAAGACACCTTACTGGGCTGTAATGGCACCTTATTGTGCTGTAAGGACACCTTACTGTGCTGTAAGGACACCTTACTGTGCTGTAGTGATACATAACTGTGTCTGTAGTGGCACCTTACTGGGCTGTGATGACTCCTTACTGTGCTGTAAAGACACCTTACTGGGCTGTAATGGCACCTTACTGTGCTGTAAGGACACCTTACTGTGCTGTAAGGACACCTTACTGTGCTGTAGTGATACATAACTGTGTCTGTAGTGGCACCTTACTGGGCTGTGATGACTCCTTACTGTGCTGTAAAGACACCTTACTGTGCTGTAATGGCACCTTACTGTGCTGTAAGGACACCTTACTGTGCTGTAATGACATCTTACTGTGCTGTAATGACACCAAACTGAGTCTATAAGGACACCTTACTGGGCTGTGATGACTCCTTACTGTGTCTATAAGGACACCTTAATGTGCTGTGATGACACCTTACTGTGCTGTAAGGACACCTTACTGTGCTGTAGTAACACCTAACTGTGTCTGTAATGGCACCTTACTGGGCTGTGATGACTCCTTACTGTGCTGTAAGGACACCTCATTGTGCTGTAATTGACACCTAACTGTGTCTATAAGAACAACTTACTGTGCTGTAATGACATCTTACTGTGCTGTAATGACTCCTTACTGTGCTATAATGACATCTCACTGTGCTGTAATGACACCTTACTGTGCTGTAATGACATCTTACTGTGCTGTAATGACATCTTACTGTGCTGTAATGACTCCTTACTGTGCTATAATGACATCTCACTGTGCTGTAATGACACCTTACTGTGCTGTAATGACATCTTACTGTGCTGTAATGACACCTTACTGTGCTGTAATGACATCTTACTGTGCTGTAATGACATCTTACTGTGCTGTAATGACTCCTTTCTGTGCTATAATGACATCTCACTGTGCTGTAATGACACCTTACTGTGATGTAAGGACACCTTACTGTGCTATAATGACACCTTATTGTGCTGTAAGGACGCCTCACTGGGCTGTAATGACACCTTACTGTATCTATAGCGACACCTCACTGGGCTATAATGACTCCTAACTGTGTCTGTAATGGCACCTTACTGGGCTGTATTGGCACCAAACTGTGTCTGTAATGGTACCTTACTGTGCTGTAATTGACACCGAACTGTGTCTATAAGGACACCTTACTTGCTGTAATGACACTTTACTGTGTCTGTAATTGGCCCCTTACTGTGCTGTAATGACACCTTACTGTGTCTGTAATGGCACCTTACTGTGTTGTAATGACACCTTACTGTGTCTGTAATGGCACCTC